GGGGCGGGGGAAGGGGCGGCTGCGGCGCCGCCTTAACCGCTTCGTGCCCGGCCGCGGCGCCGCCCGCAGCCCCGGCCCCCCGCGGGAGCGGGAAACGGGGCGACACCCCCAATTTCTCCGCCCGAAACGGGTGGGAAACGGTGCGGGAAAGCGGTGCGGGGAGACAGCGTGGGGGGCGCGGGACCCGCACCCAGCTCCCGAAGGGGGCAGCTCTGAGAGCACCCCGTGCCGAGACTCCCAAGTGCCCGGGGCTCCTCTGGGCGCCCCATATGCGAGACCCCCGAGTCTTGGGCAGCGTCGGACATCGCGCAGAGCTGGCGCGTGGGCAGCGCCCGGGGCTGCTGCTCTGGGAACCGGCCGGCTCTGAGGGAGCCCCCGGCACCCGGCCCCTTTGGGACACGGATCACAGAGAGCCCCGTCAGTGGAAACACAGGGCAGCGCCCCGGCTGCCCCCTGCGCCTGGGGCTCGGGACTGAGAAACCCAGGTTCAGCAGAGAACCTTCGGGAAGCAGAATTTTCAGAGTCCAAAAACGTGACTTTCCGAGCTGCAAAAAACAATCCTGGCCCGTATCCACACACCCCCCAGGCCGAGGCCGGAGCCCGCAGCTCGCCCGCCCGAAGCGCTTTGCACAGCAAATCTATTTTGGCGCAGATGCTCGTGACCGGCGCGCAGCTCCTCTGCCCGTTCCCCTCGGCTGCTCCCGGCGCCGCCGTGGGGAGGGAGCAGGTCGCCCTTGGGAGCAGTTTGGGCCCCTCACGGGCTTGCTGCGGCTCCTGTGGCGCCACTGCAGCCCGCTCTGTGAGCACTGCACGGTCTGCAGGGCCTTTTGAACCAGATGAGACTTTCCAGTCAGCTGCTGCTGCTCTGGGATGGCTATTGATTGTTTACTCTTAACCCTACTGATGTCCTGCAGGCTCTATCTCAGCTTCCTCTCTGAAGCACTTTGCCTTTGGGCTCGGCACAGCTGGGCAAACCATCTGGCTTCCAGTTCAGCCTCCCACTTCCATCCCCCTGTGCTCAGGAGCTCCGGATGAGGGAGAGCTCCCGCCCACGGCCCCGCGCTCCTCCCGCAGGCTGGGGCCGGCCGCTCCGGAGCTCCGGCGGAGCAGGAGCTGCGCGGGATGCACGGGAGGCCACGTGGCAGAGAGCGGCTCCGCTCTGCGCAGCGGGTGCCCTGGCGCGGGTCCGGACCCGCCAGGCGAGCGCGGGAAACGCGCTGCTCCCCGGGCCTCGCGAGCCCCGCGCGCCTGCAGGTCCCGGCAGCCGCCCCGCGGCGCCGCACGGAGCGCGAGGCCGAGAGCTCCTCCTGCCGCGGGCCGCACGGAGCGCCCGGCGGCGGCTCCGCATCCCGCGGCAGCTCTGCATCCCAGGGGCTGCTCCACATCCTAAGAGCAGCTCTACGTCCTAACAGCAGCTCCACATCCCCTAGCAGCTCCACATCCTAATGGCAGCTCCGCATCCCAGTGGTAGCTCCAAATCCTGTCAGCAGCTCCCCATGCCGGCAGCAGCTCTGCACCCCAGTGGCAGCTCCACATTCCAACAGCAGCTCTGCATCCCGGCAGCAGCTCCACATCCCAGGAGCAGCTCCACACCCCCACGACAGCTCCGCATCCCCATGGCCTCTCCGCATCCCGGCGCCACCCACTCGCATCCTCCCGGGCGCCGGTACCTGTATCCCATGGGCACAGAGGCTCCAGCGGGGCCCGGCAGCGAGAGCCCGTGCGCCTGCAGGAACCTCTGCAGCTCCCTGCGCTCGGCGGCACCGGCGGCTCCGGGCGCCCGACGCCCCGGGGCCGGGCAGGGCCGGCAGGGCAGCGCCCGGGGCAGCCCCTCGGCCGGGCTCCGCACGCCCGCCCTGCGCGCCGGCGCCTCAGCGCACGCCGCCCTGTACAGGTGCATGGTGCCCGCGCGCGCCACGGCCACCGCGGGTTTATAGGGCTGTGCCGAGGGAGCGCGGCCAAGAGCGGCCGCTCCGGGGCCGGCACCGCTGGGAACCGGGCACCGGCGCCCGTTCCCAAGCCTTATATTTAGCAACGGAGAAATATTTGCTCGGGAGCGAGTCCCAGGGCCAGGGACGTCACCGAGGGTCTCTCGGGGCTGTGCAAGTGCCTGCTCCACTCTGTGCCCAACATGGAAACCTCCTTCCCAGGGCTCCCGTGAGCGGCGCGCATGGATCCCCAATCCCCCATGCAGCGAGGCCACCCATTCCCCACACTGCAGACTGCAAAACCTCAACCCGTTTTGTCGGCCTCCCCTTCGTGTCAAGCGTGCTCAGAAAAAATAAAGATAAAAAAAGAGGAAGGTAAATAACGAGGGGCTGGCTGCCCCGCGAGCTAATCCCTAGCCCCGGCAAAGCAGATCAGCAGAGACTGATCCCAAAGAGAGCATATTTAAAAAGATTAACAGCCCTACGTGGTGGGGAGGCTGCTGGTGGATGCGGCCGCCCGTGTCCCCGCCGCGCTGCGCCGCCCCGAGCGGCCCCGACCGCGGACACGCGGCTTTGCCACCAGGAACCGCCACAAATCCGCAGGGCAGAGAAACAGCCTGGAAACGCTGTGCAAATCCTACTCCAAGAAGAGCAGCTTAACCTAACCCCCCCCCACCCCCACCCCGTGCCTTTTTTTTGGGGAAAAATAATGATTCCTGAGTGCGCCGCTTCCCTCCTGCTCCCTCGGGTGCGCTGGTGGACAGGGCTGCACGTTGCCCCGGCTCCCCCAGCTTCCCCCTCCACCGCTCCAGGTCCCAGCAAGGGCAGCAGCGACAGCTACCTGCGTGTGCAGCCCCGGCTGCTCCCGGCACTGCAGGAGTGCCCTGCAGCCCTGCACTGCAGCCCTGCACTGCAGGAGTGCCCCGCAGCCTGGCATTACAACCCTGCATTGCAGCCCTGCACTGCAACCCTGCCCTGTAACCCCACACTGCAGGAGTGCCCCGCAGCCCCGCACTGCAGCCCCACACTACGTGCGGGTGCACATGGATGCACTTGGGCGCACCTGTATCTGTGCAGCAGCCCCGGGGCAGCAGGGGCTCCCGGCCATGCGCATTCCCCGGCTGGGGGAGGAAAAGGGGGAACAAAAGCAGAACCAGGGACACTGGGGCTGGCAAACGTCCCCTCTCACCTCCACAGTCCCTGCACAACAGCTGTGTCCTCGGGCCCCAGAGATGAAGGAAACCAAGGGAAGCGCAACCACCCCGGCAAGGCACCCACGAGGAACCAGCCCAGCAGCAGCTGGCAGGTTTGCCCGGGGCAGCCACGCGGTGAAGGAAGAAGCGAGCGGAGTTTCCAGCTCCGCAGCCTGCGCTCAGCCCCGGCCCGTCGGGAACAGCAAGCAGAGATGAGGAGCTCCAGGAGCCTCCCGCCTCCCTCCTATCCCCCGAGCTTCTGGTGCTGCTGTTCCTACTGCTGCTATCCAGCTGCTATCAGTGCTCTTGCTGCTATCACCGCCGCTGCTATTGCTGTTACTGCTATTGCTACTGCCGCTATTGCTGCTGTTGTTACCACAGCTATTGCTGCTCCTGCAAGTGTTGCTCCTGCAAGTGCTGCTCCTGCACGTGCTGCTCCTGCACGTGGCGCGGTCCGCGCGCGGTGCCGGCGGGCGCCTACCTGTGGGGCATGCCGGTGGCGTGGGCCACGGTGTGGCGGGGCGCGAGCCCGCACAGCTCCAGGTACCAGTTCATCTCGAGCTCGCGCAGCAGCGCCAGGCGGCGCGCGGGCTGCGGCAGCGGCTTCGCGGCGCGGGCATGCGGGGCCGCACGCGCCGCCTGCGCCGGGCCCCGCTCCCGGCCCCCCAGCGACAGCACCGACGGCTTCCGCGCCTTGGGCGTCTCCTCGGCGCCCTTGGCACCCACGGTGCCCGTGCGCGCCGCCAGCATCGCCGCGCCGGCCTCGCCGCTGATCCCCGCGCCGCAAAGCCGTAACTGGATCCCTGCCCACGGGGCTTAAGCGGGAGGGAGCTGCCACCCGCGCGGCCTCGGGGCGCCCGCCGCAGCGGGGGGATCGCGCGGTGACACTGGGGCCCTGCTGTTGTCACCACCGCCCGCGTGGCCGCTGCTGCACAAGCCCCAGGCGAGCAGAACACCAGCGAGGTGCGAGCAGGGGAGGGCTCCTGCGGGCTCGAGTTCCCACCCCAGAGCCCATCCCGCGCCGGGAGCCATGTGCTCGGCGCCGGGCGGGAGCGGGGCCGGCCGAGGAGACGGGCCCAGGTTTGCTGAGCCCAGTTGTTCACCCGCCCCGGGCTGGGCCTGCCCTGAACCGCTGTCCCGCTGCCCGGCGCCCTGGAGCGGGAACGGCCCCGCGGGCTTGTGGCCACCATGGACGCGTGGCCACCACGGCCGCTCTCGCCCTGGGAGCCGGGAGCGGGGCAGGGAAGCGGCCTCAGGGCCTGACCCCACTGCATCCCTGTGTTCCCGGCGGCACCGCTCCGCTCCGTTCAGCGCCCGAGGCCTCGCGGGCGGCTGCTCCGGGGCCGCTCCCCGCGGGTGACACGTGCGGCGGCCAAGGGCCGACACCTTAGCCGCCCTCATGAATCATGCAGCAGCAGATAGCGCTCCCGGAGACGGAGCCGTGCGCCCGGCTCGGAATTCCGACCGCCCACCCGGCCGCAGTGGCACCAGGCACCGCGCAGACCCGCGCGAGCAGTGCCCTCCCGAAGCCCATTCCCGTGGCGGGAGCGGCGGCAGCCCCTAATCCCCACGCTGGCCGCACTGCCGAGCACTTACCGGTATTAAAATGCACAATCCTGCATTAGGGCCAGGCGGGCGGGCAGGGCGCGCGGGCCGGCAGGCGCCGCTTAGCGCTCCCGTTAGCAAGGTGACCTCCGGGATCCCACGTGCGGCACCAGCCCCTCGCTTGGCGGCTCCCCCAGCCCCGCGCTGCTCTGAGATGGGGGGAAAAGGGACGAGATTCAAGCAGGGAGCATCAGGCGGTGCCAGATACACCTGAAACCCGTGTTCATTTATTTGCATCCCTAACAGCTTAATTGCCTTTGCCTGCTCTTCCCGCAGGGATTTCCCAGCTCCAGGGCCTGGCTTGGAGTGCACAGGCGGCTGCAGGGCCCCTTTCGCTCCAAGTGGCCACCAGTGGGGCCGGGCAGCGTGGGGTGAGCCGGGTCCTGCCCTTCCCCTGCCCCTCTCCCGTTCCAGCTTCCCAGGTGCGGGGCAATGATGGCCCGGAGCGCCCTGCGTAGGGAATACGGGTCGGGAATTATTTGGTGCTCGAGGAGGGGAGCGCGCGGACACCAGCCCTGCACGTGTCCCAGCCCACATTCCCATATAGAGCCCAGGCACATCCTGGCATGTGGCAAACATCCTGGCACGGGCCCGGGCACCGTCCTGGCACTGGGTGTGCAACCCAATACACGTGCCAGCACGGGGAGTGCGTCCTGGCATGGATCCCAGCGCGCATCCCGGGACAGAGCACGGATCCAGCCATGCATCCTGGCACATGGTGTGCATCCTGGCACGTGTCCCGGCATTAACACCCAGCCTGGCATGGATGCCGGGTGATGGCCTGCATCCCAGCACACGGCACGCATCCTGGCACACATCCCAACCTGCATCCCAGTGCAGAGTGGCATCCCAACACAGATCCTGGCACATCCTGGCACGCATCCAGTGCAGAGCATGCATTTCTGCACACATCCCATCACATGGAGTGCATCCCGGCATGCACTTACATGGAGTGCATCCCGGCACGCACCCCAGCACGCATCCCAGCACAGAGCACATATCCCAAAACACATCCCGGCATGCATCCCAACCAAAGCACACATCCCAACATACGTGCTGGCACATCTTGGCATGCATCCTAGCAGAGAATGCTCATCCCAACACACATTCCAGCAGACGGTCTGTGTCCTGGCACACATCCCTGCATCCATCCCAGCACAGATCCTGCATCCCCATGTGCATCCCAGCCTGCTTCACCCCTAGGAAACTCTGCGGGAGCATCCAGGCACAGGGGCTCATCCCTGGTCTGTGATGGGAGGCTCTTCTCCCAGGTGTCCGGATCCAGGTATCTGCACAGGCTACAGGGCTCCCGGGAAAGCTGGTCCCGTCAGCCCGGTCCCAGGTAAGAGAAGGACAGAAAGGACAAGCGAAGCCGCTTCGAGCGAGCCAGGCTTTGATTCGGGGCCTAAAAAAGGCCCAAGAGTTGGGAAACTCCAGCTTAGGAGCTGCTGCCAGAAGCCAGGGAGGAAAAGCAACACAGCCTCAAACATTCATTTCTGACATTAAAACTGAAGTCAAATTTTCATTCAAATGAATTCTGCAACATTTGCCAGTGACATTTTCCAAATGTTAGGTATATTGCTTTGAAATGGCATTTTCAAAAAAAAAAATTATTAAGTTTTCAAGTAGTCGATCCCAAAAGAAAAAGCATCCGCCGCAGCACACAGGGACCACGCACTGGTGGCACCAACCTCCGCGCTGCACAGCGGCCTCGTGCGCCCTGGAGTGCAGGAAAATCCCAGCTGCAAATCCACGTTGTTGAGCGGGGAGGCGCCAGCCCCGTCCCACGCAGGGCCCTCCGCAGCCCGGCCCTGCTGCTGCTGCAGCCGAGCGGGAACTTAAGCCAAAACCCTGTCCTGGGAGCTGCGCGCACGCCAGAAGGCAGCGTTAGTCCACGCTGAAGATGAAAGCTCCCTGTGATACCCAGACGTCACTTCTGGGCCCGGAGGAAGCTGGGGAAGCAGCAGAATCAAAGCGGGATTCCTGCAAGCAGCCGGCACGGCGGGATGCGGTGGCAGCTCTGGCTCCGGGGCACCCGAGATTGACAAAAACAGCAAAAGCAACAAGAAAAACCTGTTGTCATTTAGTTTTTAAGTGAGGAAAAGGAAACCTGAGGGAGCACTCCACAACACAACTGAATGTGCTGGTGCGCTGCAGCCGGGGCTGCTCCCGCCCCGAGGCTTCCTCACGCCCACCAGAGAGCAATGAACTGCCCCCTCGGAGAGCCCAGCTCCGCTCCCTGCTTTTCCTTCTCCCTCTCTGCCGTGAGAAACCCCTTGGTTTCCACAGGCTGTTTCGCCCACCTCTCCTCCCACAACGAGGGGGCTGCACATGGCCCCATTCCCGCTTCCCTGCGCCCGGCTCCCAGCAGGATCTCACTGCCCGGCCCCATTCCCGCTTCCCCCTACACAGCTCCCAATGGGATCCTG